TTCGAATATTTTTTCCGTTATGTCTTCTTTTTTAGGTAGTAAATCTGATTTCCATTTTTTCGCTATTAGAATTCTGCTTAACGTGAGGGTATATAACACAATACATTTATCATCCTTGTTTATTATATCAGGCAAAATATTAAGCAAGTAACTTTCCGGGTTAAGCTGCAGATCTATTCCTACAATTTCTTTTATCAGATATTTTACCATTTTCCAAAATTTTACTATTTTGTCGCACCTCCACCATATATGATAGTATGTTCCTACGTTATTATTACATCTCCAACATATATCCGAGACATTTTTATAACATTTCGCTATTTTATCCGGTGACCAGTGCCACCTGTAAAACATTTTTAGAATATTCTCTTTATAAGGTGTGGCTCTTACTATTTTTTTTCGAGTAAGTGTGAGCTAGCTCACAGTTCTTTAGCCTCCAGCTCACGCATTTTTGTCTTCGCTCAGGAAGGAGGGCTCCAGAGCAAACTAACTCATTCAGTAGCCAAATCGCTCGCTCACAACTTTGCTGCTGGGCATGTACAGCTTGTAGATTCCGGAGGGAAGAAATGTTAGCAGCTCTGGGTGGAGGCCAAGAGAGATGGTCATGGAGCCAGAACGCCCGCAGCTGAGGGTGGCACTTGAGCTGCCACAGACTCTGCCCCCTCTCTTTCTCTGATGGGAGCGCCAAGCAGAAGAATGGCACCATCGGTGCCAGCTCGTCATGCCTTTGATGAATGGTGGGTTCCCTGAATCCAGAATTCAGGCCTAGAGCAAGGGCGGTCTTGCTACATTTACAGTTCGCACCTCAACTAGAGCTGTGTTTTAAATGTTGCATGTAAAGGAGAAACAAGCCCTGGGAATTTCTCTGTTGCAAAATGTCCCAGGGTGTTGCTCTCACTTTGCCTGGGAGGCGGGGGATAAGCCAATGACCTTTTGTGTGGCTAGCTCCCCCCCACACAACAACATGTTTATTTATAAATCGGCAGATAGGACAAAGGTACCGCCTTGCCTTTCCAGCTTCCTCTGTGGGCCAGTGAAAACATTCCCATAAAAGGCTCAAGGGAATCGACGTGCATATATGTAAGTGCAGTGATAAATGCCGCTGTTGAAGTGCACGGACTCTAATCTGGGAGAACTGGGTTTGATTCCCCACTCCTCCACTTGCACCTACTGCATGACTTTGGGCAAGCCATAGTTCTGGCTCAGCTGTCCTTGAAAAAGAACAATTACTGTCAAGAGCTCTCTCAGCCCCACCTACCTCACAGGGTGTCTGTTGTGGGGAGGGGAAGGGAAAGGAGTTTGTAAGCCACTCTGAGACTCCCCAAGCTCCTCCTCCTCCTCCTCTTCTTCTTCTGAAGTAGGAACTGAGAAGTAGGAACTCTGAATCCCTTAAAGTAGGCTAGCTTAGGGGTCAGAGCATAAGAACATCAGAAGATGCCTGCTGAATCAGACCAAGAGTCTTTCTAGTCCAGCATCCTGTCTCACACAGTGGCCAACCACTTCCTCTAGATGGCCAACAACAGGACATAGAAGCTGAGGCCTTCCCTGATGTTGTCTCCTGGCTCTGGGATTCAGAGACTTAGTGCCTCTGAGTGTGGCGGTTCCCCACAGTCACCATGACTAGTAGCTATTGATAGACTTTGTTTGTTGTTCAATCGCACAGTCGAGGACGACTCTTCGTGACCCC